TATTTTGGTCGAATCTGCTGATTAGACAAGTTTGGCTGGCACACAATGACATGTAGATGGAGGCAGAGATGGGGATGCGGGGGAATAACACAGAGAGACATATAGACAGAATAAGGGAGAGCAAGATAATTAAAAATAGCCAGTTGTGTTGTGTCTTTGTTTGGTGCAGAGCTTCATGCAGTTTTCACTAATAACAAGCTCTGTGTTTCCATAGTTTCTCCTTGCAGGTAGCTGGATGTCCATCCATCCCTCTGAGAAATGATGAGACGAGAAAAGGAGGAGGTAGAAGAAGAAAGAGAGAGAGAGAGAGAGTGATGATGCATGGCAAACATGGCTAGGAGGAAAGAAATGGATGGGCAAGGAAAACAACATGCTCCAAAACACAGACAATCTGTCAGGATTCCATCACCGTTTCTCCGCAGCTGACTGGACATGGACAAATGGAGGCATCTGCCTCCATGCAAACCGCAGACTGATGGCCTTAATGTTTACTTCAGCCATAATAGATAGCTATGGCACAGGAATGGATGAATGATGGCACTCGAAAGTGGCTAAGTGTGTATATAGGAGGCTGTGTTGCTTTCTTTGTACCCAAGTTTATTTGTTGGCTTATAAACTTATTCAAGTGATGAACAAAACCATTATTCATACATGTGCCATTCTGTGATCATGCCTTATGATGATGCTTCCTTTCTATACTTTATCCAGCCTATGTAGTAATCAGGTCAGCTAATTAGGCTAGTATTGCATTGATTCTGGTTTGGTTCCCAATAGATTGTCACTATAGGGCCTCACAGGCTCCAGCTCTGTCTTCACATGTTCACATCTGACAGAAATACTGCACTTTCTCTCACCTTATCTGCACAGTTGAGCCAGTGATCTTTAAAACACACCGATGATCCTAGAACCCCCCACCATAGCACATCCAAAACCACTACCAGCAAACAATAGGCTGTGTTCTCTAGGCAACACCAACAAATACATTTAACAGGTATGCTAATTACAAACAGATCATATACATATTTGAATGGTTGTGGGTGGCAGGCTGACTGAAACGGTACACTTATGATACAGTCCTCACAAGCAATGTTCTTAGCTACAACTAATGCCTAACTAAAAAGCACAAGAAGCACTCACTTTTCTCTCTCTGCTAGGTTGCATCTCCCCCTTTACTCTCTGTCACACTCCAACATGGCTCTCCTCATGTCTTGTTGCTTTTGCAGCATGACTAAACCCCTTCCACTGTGGCTTCTATCTTTGGATTTGAAGAATCGGTAATGCTGTGTGTACATATATTTATGAAACACTGCTGATCCTCCCATCACACACATACTGGGAGGAGGCTTGTCAGTTTGACTGGGATGAACCTCGCTGTCTTGGTAGTCTCTGACCCGGGACAACTTCAGAAATGCACACAGACCAAGGTTATGCTGTTTGTTTTTGTTTTATTTTTGCAATAGAAGTATGAGGAAAAACACCAGTTCTAAAAGGCTGTAACAAAGTGTCATTATCTCACAGGGGCTGATATATGAAAGTGTGTGGAACAGGGATGTTCAAGAATATTATCAATCAGGAACAACTTTACTTTTGGACATTTATTAAGGAACACATTATGTAGCATAATGGAACTGGCTTGTCTGGCACATTGGTTGCATGGTGATTCTTCACCTCAACAGGATGCCTGCAACTAACAATTACTGACATTACCATTTAAGCCATAGATTAATTTTACTTAGTCCTTTTGATTTTTCAAATCAAACAACCTACCAAAAAACAAACACAAAAAATGTCAACACCAAAACAAAGACAGGCACTAAAAGTCTATAGATTCTTTCCTTTTAATTAATTAAAAATTTTATCTTTAAAAGCACAAAAACAATGGGAAAGCCAATCAGAATTTAGCAGAAGTGATGTTTTAAAAGTGCTTACTTTGTAGCAGTCAAAAAAAAACCCCAGTTTAAATTTTACAATGATATAAAAACAGAGAAAAGCAATAAACCCTGCAGTTGTAACCAGTAAATGTCCATACTGTTCAAATCACAAACAAAACAGAACACAAACACAAAAATATGAACAAAAAGACTAGTTCATTTTTATGATAATAAACTGAATTATCTAGTCCAGGGTATTGTATATCTTTGTTTCTCAGATCAGATCAGTGAGCGATCTTAGTGGGCCCCCTGGTGACAGTTCTGCCTTGTCATCAGTCACTAGTGAAATACACAGACACACATACACATATGTACAGCTACATCTATCTTTGTGAAGACACTCGTCAACATAATGCAGACCCTAATCTTAACCACCACAAATAAACTCCATCCCTTAACCTAACATCTAATCTAGACCCAAAACCAGCCCTCTTAACCCTCAAACAGCCCTTTGACTGTGTGTGTAAAACTGAGGACCAGCCAGAATGTCCTCACTTTCTCAAAATGTCCTCACTCCCATGGTATAGAACTCTAACCAGTCCTCACACTGTTGGCCATACAGGCATACACTAGCAGGAGAGCAGGCAGATTAACCTGAGAGACAGGAGCGAGGACACTGCCTCTTACCGTGAAGGACAAACGCAGCACTGCGTTGGAGAGGGGGAGGGGCCAGTGGCAGGAAGAATGAAATCCCACAACATAAATATTCATGAGCCATCTCACCTGTCTGAGCGTGACTCATCTGAGAGCCTGTGAGCTGTGGAACAGGGGGAGTGCGTGCGTGTGTGTGTGTGTGTGTGTGTGTGTGGTGGGGGAGACAAGATGGGTGAGGGGTTGCTGTGGCAGCCAGTTCGGGAGCTTATCAGGCTCAGGTACGCCTATCTTTCTCCCTTCATTAGAGATGCGCTTTGAGAGCTGCTCTTTGAACCCTGAACCCACCCCAGTAAACTCCATCACCCGCTTCAACACACACACACACACGCACACACGCACACACGCACACACGCACACACGCACACACGCACACACGCACACACGCACACACGCACACACTCCCACACACACACACACACACAATCAGCTCCCAGGTGAGTACTGCTGGGAGCGACCTGTGGGCTTTTTCAGCTCCACAATGCCATTCTGGGCATCTTGTGCTGTCTCTCTCACTGTGCGTTTTTCTCCTGCATTCTGTCTTTGATTACAGACACAGATGTCAGGAGAACACTCTTCAATTGGCAACATCTGGGTAAAATAGGAAAAAAAAACCTCAAAAGAAAAGCTCTAAAAACAGAACAGACTGAGCTCTCTGAATCCGACTCCAACTGGTGGACCTTAGCCTCATGCTCCTCACCATCAGCTCCACTGTCTATCCTGAGAAACACATTCAATGCCTCTGAATAAATTGCAATGTAGGCAAAAAGCTCCCACTTTCAAAAACACTGCATTCAATTCCAGCTCTCTCCCTCTCTCAGCTGACAACAGAAACAGGAGCTCTCTCAGTCTCAGGTAAAGCTGCAGGTTTTATACCTGACACTATGGTGGAACAAAAATCCATCCTGAAGCAGCACACTCATCAGCCTAGAATGAGCCTAGTTTATTTCTCTCCTGCTGAGCAGTGTGCTGGAGAGGGACGGGGGACCATTACGTGCATGGTAATGGACAGCTTTATGAAGATGGAGTGATCCGATAAGCATCAGTGATACAAGGGCAACCAGGTACCAATACTGACACCTTCTCCCTCACTCTCTCTCTCTCTCTGCCTCCAATCTGTTTCCTTGTGGGAAAAAAAAGGGGATGTGTGAGACCTGTAACCATGGTTACCCATTAGCCCTAAGCCTAGTGACGCTGGATGGGGTTTAAAGGGAAAAGGCCAGCCATTGTTTTGCATCAGTTCTGGTGAGAGGAGGAGCTTAGGCGTACAAAGTAGGCCTGCTGCTGTTCGTTTTTATTCAGCCCTCATTCTGTTTGTCCCTGTTGCTGGAGATCCCGCTGAGGCTTGAGCGACTCGTGGCAGAACAGAGGAGAATAATTCATATAGAAGTAATATCACGCTGAAAAGAATACTCTGATTTCCCCTGTGTGTTACTTTTAACTAAATGCAGGCGTGTTTGAGGGCGGAAAGGATATTTTAGATGCCTCTGCTGAAGACCAGCCATCCTCTTGAAGTTTCTTCCCTGCCTGATGGGTTATAGAAAAGGACTGTGGCGAGCCAGGAAGTCAGTGTCCTTTGTGAGCCTGTGGAGCAGTGTGGGAACCCCACCACCCCCACCCGCAGCCCCACTTCCTCCCCGGCCCCTCTGAGGCCCGTGTGTGATGTCCATACACCAAGCTGTCCACCCCTTTCTATTCACCTCCATTACTCTCATCCAGCCCCCTTCCTTTTTCCTTCCACTGCACCTTCAGTCCCCCCCATCCACTCTCTCTCTCCATTAACCTACCTCCACCTTCTCTCTTCCCCCTCTATCTGCCCGCCTGTTCCACCCACTCATTTCACCCTCTTTCTGTCAGAAACCCTCCTTTCACTTTCACTCTCTCATTCTTCCCCCACTCTATAATTTCACCCCATATGTCAGCATCCCCCTTGTTCTTTGTCACTCACTTTCTTTACCCCACCTTCTTCTCCACCCTCTGTGAGTCTCCCTCAGCCTTATCTTTCCTGCCTTAGTCCTAGCCTTATTCCTCTCTGCCTGTCTGTTTTATTAAAATATTCTGAATTGAATAGGCAGCGGCAGGCTCCGGGAGATGTCTGCCTGTGTGTCGGTCTGTCTGTCAGTCTTCCAGGCTGAACTTCTGACAGACAAGGAGCCCTGAGGTGTCAAAACCTCTCGCTGGCCATCTGACCAAACAGAGACATGAATGTGCTGGACAGTGAATCACATTTAGGCCAAATGGAAAAATTGATTTAATTCATTTGTTGTCTTCTTTCAGCTGGCATCAGATTGTCCATCATTGCTTGTCAAACAGCAAATCAGTCAGAAGGTAGAGACAATAACATTCATATAAAATGTGTAGGTTGTGAGAGAGGTGAAGTCTGAAATATGGAGATACTGTACTGTAGACAGGCAGTGTTTAATAGACCTGCAAGATGCTTAAACCAGTGATGCTGGATCTAGGCCTGTTTGAAATGTTTTACAATTGGAAATAAATGTGCCTGTTTGTGTCTTTTCAAATGCCTTTTTAATGAAGTAGTTAAACCACTCCATGATGTTCCATCACATACAAACAAACACTTGGCAAACAGTATGCGATGAGCTCAACCCACTTGGTTTCCCTATAATGATTAAACAACCTTCATTTAGACCCCATGCGTTACAAAGCTGCTGATCAATTAACATGATTTACTACAGCGGCTCTGGACATAGCTTTCCATGGTAAACACTGACTAGGTGTCCTACTGTAGGGTAGACCTTCCTTCATCACACCCTGGGGATGACTTGTGGCAGAATAAACAGCCATTTGGCCCCTCATCTCTCTCCGCTGTGACTCCTTCCATGGAAATATGCGGCTTGAGTCAACGCTGTGATGACACACAGCCATCTGTTGTTGTGTTAAGTGTGTTAGGGCATGAAGTGGAGAGAAAACGCAATTGCAGAATTTCTTTTTTTAAACTCCAAAGCAGTTACAAATTCATGTGCACACACTGTGTGTAGCTGTATAAACATGTATACAATTATACTAATGCAAGAGCACACAACTCCTCTCTGGCCCTAGAGTTGGCCATTCTGAGATAGCAGAACCTTCTCCTTTTCAGTTTTTCACTTCATAGAACAGAGCTGGGGAATCAAATAAATAATAGACAAAGAGAGAGGGACAGTGATAGGACGACAAGTCAATGCATCTTTTCTCTGCAGCGGCGTGGTGCACCTCTGAAGAACCTCTGAATCCCTTCCATTCTCCACACATTGGAGAGGACCAGTAGATTAAAACTGCATGGCACACACTGCTAAAATGAAAAGCGCTAAAAATACATCCTTTTCAGTGAGACATGAAAGGAAACTGCCTTTCCCTTGTCCAGTATTGAACAGCCATTGATTCCGAGACAAAGGATACACCTCCTCAAAGAGGTAAGAAAAATAGCAATCATACAGGCAATTATTTTCAAATGTGCCTGCAGCGGCCGATAATGTCAGCTCGCCTCTCTTCCTAAATAAAGGGAGGGAAGGCAGGCGTCAAAGCTGCAGGCCCACTGCTGAAGACGAATGAGCCCATCCGCAGAATGCTTTGCTTTCATCTGGGCAGCATGACATGGCGCCCCATGCAGTGTGAGGCAGAACTGGGCCTGGAGGACAGACACACACAGAAAGAGAGAAGAATATAGATTCTTCTTTCAGCTCTATGGAGCCAAGACCAAGGCAAAAATGCTCTAAAGACCAGTGGCCAGATTGCCAGTGGCTTTCTCTTGTAGCCCTGCCATAGACAACAATCACTGGGGCACCCAGGCCTATAGCATGGATCTCTCTATGGGGCAGCACCTCACAGTAGGCCTCTATAGCTGGACCTCTTCTAAAGACAGATAGCAATTCTCTTTCTCAAGGCGTGTATTTCAGACCCAAGTCTTTGCATGCTGATGTGCAGCAGCATCTGAAGAGAGGGGGATAGAAAACTCCCCACTGGGTTTAGCCCTCCAAACAGCTGAATTACTCTAATGTTTTGAATAAAAAAAAAAAAAAAAGATACTCTTTAGCTACTTCAACCACTACTCATGTGCTGTCGAAAGCCCTGCAGTCCATGCCTTGAGGCCCTCAGCCCATGCTTGGCCTATCAGTTTAAGATCAAAAAGAACTGACTTTAGCAAGACATATGGATGGAATAATGCATTTGCTTTATTTTCACAAGGCTGGATGGGGTGAATGGCAGGGGAAAATTAGAATTAGTTATATGTATATGTGCCTCTCTGGTGTTTATGAGTGTTTGTTCAGAAACTGTTTTTCTACAGGCCAGCTAGCGTCTCCAGTGTCAGTCATTGTGATTGGACAGTGAATATGATAGCCAGTAGCATGCTAGAAAATGGGCTTCTATGATGTCTCATTTGAATAGTCTGACAGCCAGGGGTGGAGGAGCAGCCTTGTAATGAATTATAAATATGAGGTGGGCGCAAGTTTCCCCACAAACTGCTGAGAAAAGGTGAAGCACAAAGTCAAATTCAGTCAGTAAGAAACCAAGCTTGCAGCTTGCAACCTGCCAAGGTCCGTCTTTCTCTGGGGAAAAAAAAGAAAAACCTTGGTCTGGTCCTCTGAGAACTGTGACTATGCTAGGTGAAGTTGTGTAATGTGGCACCAAAAGAAGAAGACAAATACAAGCATGTGTATGTGAGATAGGTTATTCCTAGCATCTGGAATGGGAGTGAACTCTGCACAGCCACAATAATTCTGGCAAATATCACCAGACATAACCCATTATTATTATTAAGTCAGAGGTCTGTGGCTGATTAAATACACACACATATACACACACACACATATACATACATACATACACACACACACAGTTTGTTTCGTAGTCCATGGGGACTTTACATTGACCTACATGCATTTCCTGTAGACTAACCCTAACCCGAACCACTACTTGCCTAACCCTAACCCTGACCCTGACCGTAACCTCATCCTAACCCTAAACTTCAATTTCTTGCCCATGGGGACCTCAATTTAGGTCCCCACCGTGAAATGGGTCCTCATGAGTTGGTATGGAGTCAGGAAGAAGTCCCCACGTAGCAGGAAAAACACGTCCACACACACACACACACACACACACACACCTATGCTGTGTTTTCATTCCTTATGGGGACTTTACTTTGACTTACATTCATTTCCGGTAGACTTATCCTAACCTTATCCATAACCACTATTTGCCTAAAACCTAACCCTGACCCTTACCTTAACCTAACCCCAACCTCACCCTGACCTTGAACCTTGTTGCCACCCTAAAATGCAATGATTTCAGCATGGCTGAGTCCCCACAGTGTGAGCGTGTTAACAGGTTTCAGTCCTCATAATGTAAGTACTACAAAGTCACACACATGAACTGGGAAACTAACAGTAGATTTATGAATGGAAGCTCTTTTGTTTTCTTAATTTTCTTGTTTCCATCAGCCAATAAAACAAGATGAACTTCAGAGCCAACAGAAACAGGTTAAAGCAATGCAGCATTATCTTTTTTATATATATATATATATGTGTGTGGAACAGGCAAAGGCCATGCTCTTTGACCAGTCATTCCTAACCTGTGGCTTACTCCCTGGGTAGGACCCCTGCTGATGATGATGATGATGAGTCCAAGTCGAAAAGGGAAAGTCGGAGTTTTAGCCTGGATTCGTCTAAGAATTAAACTGGGGAAAACAGAACTTACACACACTTAGTGCATCCCTGTGTTTCTCCATGTGCAGGTATTATATAACAAAACCTAATTACTTAAATTTCCACATAATGTTTTAGTTGTCATTTGGTCAAGACAACAATCATCTTGTAAACATCTTGCATTAAACAGATACCGTGTTTCTATAATCAAAAATGCTCCTGTGCCAGGCTGCCATCAAACTTCTGTTTCTTTTGCTGAGGTGAGTCATTACCAGGCCTGCACCTCGCCATCCTCCTGTCCTAGACACACATCTTTAAGACACTCTATGAGAAATACAAATGGAGAAGGAACCCAGTCAGCCCAAGCATAGAGTGTGGAAGGCTGATAAGCGCATCCTTGGCCTTCGAGCAGTCAAAGACGATGTGAAGGACACCCCAAGCGTCCAACACAAACCTATTGCTCGGCTTGTGCATTATATACTGTAGCACTGCCATGTCTCAGTAGGGATATATGACCTCCTTCTAAATCCCTGTCACAGACAAGTAATTATTTCATCTCCAACAGTGGTGGACTAGTTTCTCTTGGACAGGACAGTGAAGCTGTCATAACAGCATCATGTTCTGCCTTCCAAAAATCAGTAAAATCATAACTGCAGTGAGCTTTACTAAATACAGACAAGGAACTCTTGTTAAAAACACCCTAAAATAGCATTGTTCTTGTTAAGAGCGTTCCGCCATCTAGTGGCGGCCTTATAATACTACAAAAGTGTAAGGGAGAAGGGAAAGCCAAATCCAGGACAAAAAAGAGGTAGTATTTGGATGCAAAATAGAAGACAGCTGAACTGTCAACAGTTTTTGAACCGCATTCAGTAACAGTATTAGCAAATAGGCATGAGTGGTTAAGATAATGACGATTAATACAGGCGCAGACACACTGTCTACACAACAAAGCACAAATAAGTTTAAGCTGCTTTTTGAAGTTATCTTCACGAGTCTAAAAGTGTTAGGACTGCAAACAAAATCACCACTGCCTAATCTTAAAACAATGGTTTAATTTACCTGTCCATGTCTTCTGTTCTGGGATGAAGTAATATTTATTCCCCAAAATATCTGTTCCGACGTGCTCGCGTGCTATCCCAAACGTACACCGTAGAACACTAACAATCCTGCTCATCGTTACAGTATAGTCTAAAGTTTTCGGGAGGATTTTGTGTCCTTTAGTCTATTTGCCCTCTCGCTGGGTTGTAGTTCCACTGTTTTCCGGGGCTTGGTTATGGCACTAACAAACTGCTCTGTGATTGGACGGATGTACTCAAGCAGCCAATCATGGCATTTGTCATAGACTATAGATTACTTTCCAACATGGCTGTCCATTGTATTGAGCGGATACAAAGCTAATCGAAATGGATATAAAATAAATAGTAAATAATGATAGTAATAGTACCATTTAAAAATTTTAACGGAACATTTAACTATTCCGCCGCTTTGGGTATAATATAATGCCTTGTTGGGCTCGTCAGTTCAGTAGTACGCGGCATGCTAGCCTTTGAACTAGGTTAGCTAAGGGTAGCATAGATTAATGCCAGTCCTGCTCCTAAATTACAACTTGTTTCTCTATAAGTTGAAGCAATGTTGGGGTTTCTGACAGCAAGACAGTCTGGTCTGGATGACCCTTTGCGACTGAGACGTGCAGAATCAACAAGACGGTTAGACATTTAGTGGTTGTGGTTGATTGATTAGTACTTCATATATTGTTATGTAGTTTATGTTTGCTTCATATATTGTTATGTAGCTTATGTTTGCATCTTATATTGTTATAGTGTTATGTATTGTTATGTAAACTATATTCAAATTGTATGTAGTATTTTGGTAGTTACATTTTTGGTGCACACAAACACATACACACATATACCATATCTCTTACACATACCGTACTGTGCAAATATGGACAGTAACAATAAAGTGTTTTATTTCTCAATTATTTTTCATGCTAAGTGCAACAGATACAAAAATCTAAATCATACCAATATTTGGTGTGACCACTGACCACCCTCTCTGTATACTTTATGTATTTTGAGACTGACTCAGTGATGTTGACATTAGTGTTCTATGTATTGTTCTTGACACTGAAGATAGTTCTTTATGACTCTTGCTGTCTGTTAAAGGTCATTGTCATGCTGCAGAATCAGTCAGGGACGGATCACCTGCCTCCCTGATTTTATTGTATGATGAATAAGAATCTAAACATATAAAGTACCTTTGTTTTTTATCATAAACAGTATTCTGTCAATTCATTATATAGATTTGGATTGCTTAGTTGTTTAACAGTGTTAGCAAAAAGAGAGATAAAGAGATCACTAAGCCAGTCTTTACATTTTGGAAACTCTGGCCATTGTTTACTAATTTAACTTGATAAATTATTTTGTGATGTGCTATCTACCTCACCTAATCATCCTTTTCTGCCAAAATATTGTAGCTGCCCCATGGCAATTGAAAATCTATGTGAGTCAGTTATGCCCTGTGATGCACACCTCTTTCTTTATCTTCAAAGAGTCCTCAGTCTGAAGTTAAACCCTGATAGAGATGTAGACCGAATCCATGGAAATGGCATCAACACCATTGACATCGAAGCAGTAGAGGGCAGATAGTAAGTCCACTTTGCCTTGTTTTAATGCAGTTCTCTAAATTACTACAGTACTAATTCTGTGGAATGATAATACTTTAAATGCAACACTGCAATGAATAGGGCATTTCAGAAAATGTTATCAAACAGCTGCTGAAAGTCTATCCTATGCTGACAATCATCTTTTGATATTGAAGACATTAGTAAACCTTTTGATAGTGTGGAGAGCATTAGTACTCACAGATTATTACAGCTATGAAGAAGCATTGTCACAGAATGCTACTACACCAGTAATATCACTGCTATTGAGATTTGATACCTATCCCATGTTTGGTTACATTATATATTGGTTAAATACTATAGAAGGTTTCTTTATGTGTCAGCTCACCAAAATAATGCCATATTTTCTTAGTTACCTGTTACTGGTATCAGTCCATACAGCCTAATCCAGTGCCATTGCCAAATTCTCTCAATAACAAATGGCATTGCAGTTCTCAAAGCATGGGACATTGTATTTGAAAAACTCAACTGGGAAGTTTATTTCCAGGAACAGTCTTCCATTCACCTGGGCCAAACCACAGACCTCAGACAAAACTGTTAAAAGCAGTGTCGGTAGTTCTGTTTGTGAAGCTAACATTTCTTATTGTTTAGCATGTTGTCTGGAGGTTCAGATGGAGTGATAGTTATCTATGACCTGGAGAACTACAATGGGAAACCACAGTACACCTGCAGGGCAGTCTGTACAGTAGGCAGGTAAATGTTAGTACTATACCAATTCTGTCCACTAGAGGGCATCATTTACTACCACAGTACCATTTTATTCTTAGCTTTCTCATAGACATGTCTTTTTTAGCACACTGGCCTGAATCCTGGTTTTTCTTTCATGATTTATTACTTAGGTGTGTTTTTGATGAGTGTTAATAGCCATATCAGATCTTATTTGTTGTTGCTTTGTGCAACATGATGAAAACTTGCACTATTGTGATTGAATAGGGCTATAAGAATATGTAGCATTATGATTTGCAGTGTAAAGGTATCTTTATAATCCACACAATTCATTTTGTTTTAACACTTCACAATACTTTAATGTGCTACTACAGTATATTTATGTGTTTTTAATGTAATAGGAAATCAAAAAGAATTATGTGTGAATTGCTTTCTCAGAGAATATGCATTCTTACTCTTATACCTGTTTTGTTTAAATTTAGGTCTAGCCGGTATGTCCACAAATTCAGTGTAGAGACGGTTCAGTGGTATCCTTATGACACAGGAATGTTTGTCTCCAGTTCCTTTGACAAGACGATGAAGGTTTGGGACACTGAGACATTAAAGGTAAGAGATCCATTCACCTTTTAAAGTTTATTTTTTAATGAATGTAGTTTACACTGATTTACTATTAGTTAGAACTTTGGAATGCAGTCCAGTATAAACTCAGTTACCAGTCAGTACCTCTCTGAAACAGTGTCAACAAATATTCCATGTTATTATATAAACAAAGATGGGCTCTATTGCAGAGCAGAGGGATTGCATTAACTTGTACAGCTAAGCCTTATAAACAGGTAACTCTGACTGGATATTTGGAGATTGATTGTTAGATTTTCTTATATCTCCACCATCCTTTCTCTCTCACTGTCTTTTACCCTTTCTTTCTAATTTTCTGCTTCATGCTTTCTACCTTTCTGTGCCACAAACACCCATATGGCAGGCCCTGAGCTGTGCTAGAGTTACACTGGCATCACAGTTACTGCAGAAGGTCAGGAAAGGGATGGAAGTGAACCCACTGACCTTTCATTTGTTTTTCCTCTATCTTTCAGTGTCTTTGTTCCGCACAGACACACACATTCATGCCCATTAAATTATTTATTGTGGTTGTGTATGTGCACATTAGTGTATTGGTGTCACTTGGTGTGTGTATGTGATGTACGTTTATGCAGACAGAGCCTCCTTTGTGTGCATGTGCCCATTGGCTGAGTCCATGCCGGTGCTGGCACACATTGACAGATGGGGCACAGAGAGGCTATTTATATTTGCTGAAGAATTTGCATTGTAACCGCCACTGCTGCTCGGGTGAGCTGCCTTCTGAGTTCTGAGCTGCTATGCTCCCCCCACTAATAATATGCTCTTATTTTTATGCAGTTCATTCTGTGAACTACTTCCCTGAACTGTGGTGAATTTATACCATAGCTTTATTTAATGTTATTATTATTTATTTTTATCATGAATTGAAGATGTTCCTTCAGCATATAAGCACAAATAAACATAGCTAACTATAGAGATAGCTGAGTTTCTACTACAGATCACTGACCCTCTCTGTCTCTCTCTCTCTCACCTTGTGCTTCTTCAGCCTGCTGAAGTCTTTGAGTTTGAGGGCAATGTCTATAGCCACCACCTCTCCCCCATTGCCAGGAAGCACAGTCTCATTGCAGGTGTGTGTGAATGCAACCACAGTTTTTGCTGATCTTGGTGACACAGAACATAGCAGCTGGAGTACCTACTGGCATTTCTATCACTGTGTGCTGAAAAGTATTGGACTGAAGCAAAAATCTCTTTAGCTCCCTTGTCTGTCTTCTGTTTCTGTTTCTAAGAAGTGTACTATGTGCTTCCCCGCAAGACACCGTGGACACTGCCCCGACTATGTAAATGATTTTTTAGCCCTGGGTTATAAAATGACATGTACCTAGAGGGGACAGAAATGGGCCAGAAGCTGTTATCTTTCTTTTGAGAATATACACACAGTGAGGTACAGTCCAGTGCGCATCTCAGTACAAATCCATAAAAATTAAAACATCATCATCAGCACAGCTCCTCTCCATTGTACTTTATTCACCTAAGGTTTTGGCTGTTCATGGAGTGAAGTTCAAAGATTTTTCTGGAGAAACATTGTAGGCATCTCAGGTGCTGCCACACCATGTCACCAAGCAGGACTAACAGGTTCCTCCATGGCTTTTGACTAAGTCCTAATAAATGTGCACACAGTCTCTAAGCTGGCGACAATCGGTCCCTGTCTGTTTTATTTTTTGTTTTGTTTTTTCATGTGTCTTGTAAGGAACAGATACTTGTCAGAAGTTACAAACATCCCCGGTGTCCTCTGTTTTATCCAGGATGACACATTAAAGAATCTGCTCCTAAAAAGTAACAGTAGCTCATTAATTCTGCATAAGTTTGGCCATTTAGATTTGAATGATTAAGTTATCATTTTTGTTTTGTTAAAGGTTACCAAATACCCATAGGTGTGTGAGCTTACATTTAGCAAAAGTTTGTCTCAGTGAGTTTTTATATTTCCCGCACCTTATCTGTGATAACATCAAACAGTGTTAACCCTTCTGAAGCACTTCTCCCTTTCGCACCTTGTACTTATCTATTATGATTTTGTGATAAACTGTATGATTGAGGTGAATTATCAACTTTTATATTATCATAATTCCGCCTTCTCAGTTTTTTTTAAATGAAGAAACACTGGCAGCCTTTTCAGTCTCCTCCCTCAACTGTCTCTGTGTTTCTGCATTTCCAGTTGGCACCAAAAACCCTAAAATCCAGCTGTGTGACCTGAAGTCTGGTTCACGTATTCATGTTCTTCAGGGTTAGTGGACTAGACCACACTTCCTATTTCTGCTATCTTCTTTCACACACATGTATGTATAGTTGCACACACATTGCTAAGTAGTAAAATAAAATATTTCCCCCTCCAGGTCACAGAGCAGAAGTCCTGTCTGTGCAATGGTCGCCCAGATATGAGCACATTTTGGCCACTGCCAGGTATGTACTGTTAACTGCCACTATTTCTGTGAAGATTTAGCCTCTGAAACCATTACCTAGTTTGCCCTCACAGCCACATCCAAGAATAATGCCAGGTACTGGACGGTCTTCATCATGTTGTGTCCCAGCAGTTCTTGTCATCTCAGCTCCCAGCCATCTGGCCGTGTTGCAACCCTGAGTCAAGGATAATGGCACCACATTGCTAGTAGATCAGCACTGTGGCACTCTAGTAGCTCTGTCAGTTTAGCATATGGTAGATACAGTCCCCACCTGTTTTATGCTACATTAGACCAGCTAATTAACCCACTGAGATCACTGTGCCGGTGTCCAAGTGGACTGTAAGTGATTTTGAAAACAACTGGCACAGAGAGGCACACAGAAAAGTGTACGATATTCTGTTATAGAGCAGCATGTTAATGTCCAAGAGAAAACCGACCTTTGTAAACAAACAGGTTATATGAATCTCATTTGTCTGAGCATACAGTGTATATATAAATTCATGTATTGCATTTAATAGTGGAGTCATCAAGCATGTATCTTCTTTTGGGTAGCTTATTAAACTATATCATTAATTAATGAGAAGAGAGTTTAAAAAAACAATTGCCCAATTTATCCTTCTAAGTGCAGACAGCAAAGTGAAAGTATGGGATGTGCGTCGGGCTTCTGGTAGTCTTTTCACTCTGGACCAGCACAATGGAGACAAGTCAAAAGCTTCTTCTGAGGCAGGTACTGTCCTCTCTCCTTTTTACATTCTTTTCCACCATCTTTTATTTTTTATCCTGAGATAAATGAGCTCTTTTAGCTTTAATATAGAAAAGGAGAAAATGTGCATGCCTAGCAGAAGTTAATGTCAGGCATCCCCTTGGGTTTGACGACATTCTGCACATACAGTAGCTGTTTTTCCTCCCTAAGGTCCTGTATGTGTTCATGACAAGGGGCCCAGTCCCTCAAGGAAACCAGTTTATTTTTGCAATTTTGTGTCATAATAGGACACAAGGGTTTATAACAACTAAAGACACTAAGACCATGTTATTAATGGATAGGTATGAGGCATGATTAGGTAGAAAAAATTTGTACTTTGGTACCATGATCATGATGTAGGGAGAAACAGAAGACAAATGCATTGTTACCATGCCTTACCTGTGTCTAAACAGTAAACACAGCCCATAATGGCAGAGTGAATGGCTTATGCTTCACTGGTGATGGCCTATATCTCCTCACCACTGGAACCGATGACCGTATGAGGCTATGGAATAGTGCCACAGGAGAAAACACACTGGTAAGGTGTATATGTGAGGGCTAGCCTACCTGAATAATCACTTTGAATTATGTAGATGCAGCAGTTGCAGACCCAATTTGCCTTTCACTTAGCAGATTCTGAACCTTGTGGCCCCTCACTTTTTGTTCCTCAGGTAAATTATGGGAAGGTCTGCAATGAGAGCCGTAAAAGACTCCAGTTCACGGTGTCACGTGGCTGCAGCCCAGAGTTTGTGTTTGTGCCATGCGGCAGCTCAGTGGCGGTGTATACCCTCCACACGGGAGAGCTGGTCACTATGCTCAGGGGTCACTACAACAGTGTCGACTGCTGCGAATTCCACCCAGACTACCAGGTTAGACTCACCGAAATCCCGGGTGGTGACTGTTCACTGCACCTGGCCAGTATAGCCATCTATCTGCAGTGCTACCTTTGTTTGTGTTTCCCCCCGTTTCTGTTTGTTCTGCCAGTGGCCTTGTTTGTCTCCTGTATGCTTAGAGAATTCATGTCAGTTTCTCTCTGTCCACGTCAACTGTTATCGTTTTGTTACTGTAGTAGGAGCTATTGAAATTTGCGATTATTATAGCAGTTTCAAATGAGCCACCACCACCCTCACAGATAACATGGTAAGGTCAACATTGCCTGAGTTATACTGAGCTACGTCAAATGCAAATACAGGTAGTGAGACAGACGTTAGTGCTCTCAGTCTAAAGGTTGACAATGACTCTATGACTTTCAGAAGTCACATGGTAACGGTTTAACTCCACAAAGGTAATGCCATCTCAGTGTCAAATACAGATGGTACTGTAGTTTCATCATTATCTGATATATACAATACTCAGCTTGTGGTTGTTGCCATTTGTGTGCATGACTATGTATACAGTATATATTTCTATATAAGTACTTTTATATTGTTATTTTACTTATGTACATTCCTTTTTCTTGTTTGCACATTCTTTTCTTTTTTGTTCTCTCAATCTTATCTTGTTTGCTCGTTGCCTTATGGAAGAACATACACATTGAGAGCCACCGTACCAGAGTTAAATTCCTCATGTGTCCAACACACCTGGCCAATAAAGCTGATTCTGATTTTGATTTGAGGATTGAAGGATGGGATTGTCAGAAAACCACCAGAACAGGGATGTGATATTAGTTGACATTGTATTGATATTTTTCTCTTAGGTTGCATCAAGTAAAGTATTGTATTGATTTTTGTGATATACAATAACACTGTTTTCCTTGTTACACACCAGTTTACCTGATTTAGGCTTGAGACTGTTGAGGTTTTTGTCATTTATTGAAAAACAGCAACAGAACAAATGTATAAACACAAAGGTGACAGGAAACTCAGATTCAAACTAATAAAATAAGTTAAAGAAATACTAAGATAAACTTTCACACACACACACACAGAATCCAACTAATGAGGTGTGTCAAAATAAATGTTTTGGGAGTGAAGTGAAAGAAGTATCTGTAAATTTAGCATGAAAGTTGAATGTCACATTGTAACGGTAGTTTATTGGCACATGCCTGTCAGGTTAATCGTGTACTTGTTAATTAAACTGACAATATAAAGCTATTTCAGGTTTACTCTTATGCTTGTTAAGTTGTTTTTTTTTTTGGGCTCCTTTAAAAATAGCCTAAAATGGTAACTATTGGTTTTCATTTTTCTGTTTGTACTAAAGGGTCAGTAGTGTTCCTTTGTGCTGAGAGACACTTCAATTATTAGGTAAATGTAGTAATACATATCCATCAACAGTCTAAAGGGATGTCCAATACACGCCTTTGTGATTAAGCAATCTTAGTGTCTGATGTCATACACAGCTTTCGTATGCATAGTGGATCTAAGAATGCAGTTAGGCAGCTCATCACTCTGGTGAGTTCCAGAAAAGGACACCTAGTTCTGAAAAGTGTATTTTACATTTCCTTCATACTGTACCTTTGGTCTAATGTGTCAACCCTGTTCAGAACCATGGCACTGACATAGTCTCTCATGGGTTCACCTGTGCTGCGTGGACAGTTTTTAGCTTATGAATTATTTTACTCTCTGTCACAATCATGCTTGTTTTCCACTGGTGCTGAAGTCATTGTTTGGATGTGCTTTATGGTGAAGGTTATGCTGTGACAGCCGATCTTTATTTTTTTATTTCCTGTACCTGTTTGTCAGAACTGAGGTGTCCTTATGCTTCTTTATACTGTATGTAGGAGCTGTATAGTGGAGGTAAAGACTGTAACATCCTGGCATGGGTTCCTGTCCTTCATACCTTGGATGTGGAAGAAGAGTCAAATAAGGTACATGCCATAATGACAGGGAATCCAGTAACACAGTAAAGTTGTACACTACAAGTCGAAAGCCTTTTAAACTCTCATTTTGTTAATTTGCCTTGGTGGAAGCCATAATCTCGTAGATACTGTAATTGGTGCATCATCTAAGGACTTTCATTTATGACAGCTCAGCACATAGTGATACACTTACAAACCCAGGAACACTCAGCTCTGTCATCCCGTTTCTCCATTCAAGTAGTTTCTATTAAATTACAAATGGGTGTTTCTCACCTGGCCCTTTCCAGTTTAACTTGTTTTCTCATTTATCAGATGAACTCAACAAAGCAGTAGTTGTTATCTGTCATGTACAAAATGTTTTAAGGCAAACTTGACACGGATGACCTGTTTTTTTTTTGTTTTTTTTTTTTCTTCTTCCGGCAGTGCATATCCTTATATGGTTGTGATTTGTGAGCAAATTGTGTTTCTGTAATGGATCTGTTTAAAGAAGAGCCTGTTCATTCAGACTTGATTTTGAGCTGACTGTCTGGATTTCTTACAGGGGGCTGCTGGCCAGTCTTCAGTGAACCCTGCCTTTCAGGACGCATGGAGCAGCGATGAGGATTAATGCTGGTGTTTTGTATGTGGACAAAGTGGACACACAGGTGTCTGAGCATGCGCATGAGTGCACATTCTTCACAATAAAGCTGTCAGAAATGGGCAGGTCCAGAGACAACTCTAAAGATTAATACATGTTTAGGAAAATGTCTCCTTTTTGTCATTGCAGATAAATACAAGAGCCTTAAAATTAAAATGTGTAAATAATTGTGACTTTATATTCAGTGGTTTTGTACATTTGGTATACAGATGTTGCGATTTTTATTTGAATGTAAAGCTACTGTGATCCTTGGTTGTACTCACAGAGCAAAACTGCCATTGTTTTGTCAATTTTGATATGAGAAGAGCAGACTCCTGGAAGTCATTCTGAGGCTTCATGCAGAAATAAAAAATGTATCCATCCACATTGGGGGTTTTTTGTTTGTTTTTTTGAAAATGTACAATATGTGGCATATAAATCGAGTTATTTAATATATATAAAAGAGTATTTATATCTGTGTGAAGTGTTACCGACAGCTGAGGCTGTGGTTGTGGTTCTGGGGAGGTTATGGAAAAAAACAAGACTGACTGAAGCTGCTAATCTCCTTTTTGTGCTGCCTGAAACCAATTATTCTTGTGGGAAAGACACTGTAGACTGTTGTTGCAAAACCTTGACATCTGAGGCATCGCTCAAGAATTTAACGTGGCCAATCAGCGAACGAGAGGCGGGCTTGGTCGTTGTCAAAAGGAACGAGGAGCGCGCAGACGTTAAGGACGAGCAGATTGGAGGATACACCTGTAGGACGGCGACAGGTGAGCCTGACCGCGAGGAGTTCAGGTTGCGTCTCAGCAGCAGGGCTGAAGGTTGGCAATTTAACGTTTCTGTCTTTGTATAACAAGGCTAAGTCGTGTTTATAATGTAAAAAAAAAAAAATGTAAAAAAGTTGGAAGTTGAAAGATAAGCAGAGATGGTCTGAGAGCACCGGTACGTCAATGCAAACGCGTGTCCGTGATGATCATGGCCACCTGGGAGCGGGCTTGTTTTTTTCCGCATCATCAATTTCTCATCAGTTTAGCGACTTGTTGAGGATTTCAGCGGTTACGGGTGTAGAAAACGGCCAGAGAAGGTCTACAAAGGTCTCATTTAGAAGTTTTCAGTAGTAAGGCTTCTTCAGACTAAACAACGAAGGCGTTAGCTTCAGTTTTGTGTTTTTGTCGGGTGGTAGCGTCAGCCAATGTAAGAAATGGTCTTTGCTTTTCAGTTTGCATGTGGAAAATGTCACCGGTTTTTGTTTTGTATAATGGCTTAGGTTAGGTTACATGCTGGTGTTGAACTAAGTGGCTTTGTGTGTGTGTGTGTGTTTAGTGTCTTTTTTTTTTGTTCTGGCCCTTCCTTATTGAGTTTTTTTATTTTATGGCCCTTAGGGCCAGATTTCCTTCAGCTGTGGGTTTTATTACTGGAAGCTGGGTGTCGACGCTGCAGCTTTTTAAAGGTAGCCTACATTAAATTAAGAGGAGTGCCATGGGAGTAGAAGTAGAAGGCTTTACACCAGGATTCCTGACATAGTGTTAATTTGCATGTCAAAAGCTTGCCGTGTTTTTAACAATCCCCTTTATTTGGCAAAGTGTGTGTGTGTGTGTGTGTGTATGTATGTATGTATGTATGTATGTATGTATGTATGTATATATATACACACACACACACACACAAGGAATTTGTTTCCGGTACGGAACCGAGGGAACTCACCGAGGACTCCGACCATCGGGGGCAACTTGGGGGTTCAGTGTCTTGCCTAAGGACACTTCGACACGTGGACTGCAGGCACTGAGATTTGAACTTCCAGCCCGGTCGGTTTAAATTCCTGTTGGCTAGACGCACCTTTAAAACCTGTTGTGTGCTATGTAGCCTACACCTAGAACACGTGGGATGGCATTTTCTTTTTTTTTTTAGTCGCAGCGTTGATCAGATGGCGATTCTGGTTTCTGCAAAATGTGTATATATATATATATATTAAACCTAACGCACAGAGTGCCCTGATTTTACTTGACTTCTGGTTTGTCAAAGTGGCAGATTTCTCATACTACATGCATGTTTAATAAACCAGTCATTTTGACTTAAAGCCAGCACTGACTCTGTCACTATGCCTGGCATGACTCCATCCTAAACTTCATATAGATATGAGGAATTTAATAGAATGTTAATTTATGATTGGGGCTTCAATGAATGATTTTTATATTTGTTAATCTGCAGATTAATTTTGATTAATAAATTGGTTGTCTGTGTTAGACATTGGTGAATAACTAACATAATTTCCCATTGCCCAAGGTGACCAGTAGTCCTAAACCCAAAGATAGTGAGTCGATCTTCTTACAATGTAAGACTGGTAAATGGACAAATCCTCACAAGAGAAGCCGGCACCATTAAGTGTCTGATGTTTTTAACTTAACCATGGACAAACAAAGAATTTTCTTTTCGATTGGCTAGTTCTTTCAGCTCTTGTATTTAATGGCTGCAGCTGTTGACACCAGGATACCTGGGGAATATTGTGTCCCGTTTGCTTTAATTTAAAAACTGTCATTCTGACATGGTGTCAGTCAATTATAAGCAGCTGTCCATTGGAGCAGTTTTAACAGCCATTTGCATGGTTTTTCTTCCAGTGCTTTTTGTATTTTGTGTATATTTATATCATAAGATGCCTGGCAATATTCATGGTGACATGGTATAGATAGTCCAAAAATGATATTGTATGTGAATGAGAAATTATTTGTACACTATCTATGCATACATGTTTCTAGAGTGACTTCAAGTCACCATTTCTCTAAGGCTGCTACTAATTGTACTCCTTGTGCAGTCTTGGCTTTGTCTGCTTAGAAGAGCAGCCACAAATACCAGTGTCTTTGTCTGTCCTTGTACAGTCCAGGCTGAGGAGTAATTTTAGTCTTAACTACAAATGGCCATATTCTGCCTATAACTACTTGGTTGAACAATTTTATCAAATGTTAACATGCCATCTTGAAATGAAATGCCAGTTGCAAGTGGAGGGAATGATACTATGTGCTGCCTGTCACACACTCTGGTGGGTGGGTGTGTTTTATTTTCTTGTAATTTATTTATTTTTTTTTAACTAAAAACATCAAGTTCTGCTTTCCTGAATCTAGTTGGGAAGTCACTTGCTTTATTTTTTGCTGTTATTGAGTGCATATTAGTGAGTCTGAACCAGGCTTCTTATCCACATGTCACTGAACCAGTGTAGTCGAAGTAACTTCCTAATATTCACTTTTGTTCTTTGTAGAACTAGAGGAATCTCATCTGGAAATGGAATTTTTTAATATCAAGTCCTCAGCTGCACTCATTTTTGATGAGTTCTTTCAAAATGCAGGTGAGTCTTTCACCATTTAAACATCAAGCGTTCAGAATGTCTTCTGCCATGTTTGTACTTTTAAACACTATCATCACTTCTGGCTTTGACACTCTGTCATCTTGTCATTTCTGTTGCAGACTCACGGACGGAGAACTGGTTGCTTATGTCATCTCCGCTCCCTCAAACGATCATCATTGCAGCATACATTTACTTTGTCACGTCGTTGGGGCCTCGGATAATGGAGAACCGCAAAGCCTTTGACCTCAAAGGAGTTCTTGTTGTCTACAACTTTGGTGTGGTGGCTCTCTCGCTTTACATGTGCTATGAGGTGAGTCATGTTCTCTTGCTTCTATTAGCCCCGATTGACATGGGTTGTTGGCAGTTATTGATTTTGCATGGTAGTGCATATGACAGGCTCACAGTTGAGCACATTGTTAAAATCAGAGCCGTGACCCATGCCATAGTCTTGTGAAATCTGTTTTTGTGGATGACTGGGTTTTTAAAATGGACTGTTAACATAAGGGGGCGGCTGTGGCTCAGGAGGTAGAGCGGGTCGTTTCCTAACCGGAGGATTAGCGGTTTGATTCCCAGCTTGTCCAGTCAACATGTTGAGGTGTCCTTGAGCAAGACACTGAACCCCCAGTTGCTCCTGGTGATATCACCGGTGTGTGAGTGCTTGGGAGTGCGAATGGGTGAATGGCCGAATAATGTGAAAGCACTTTGAGTGTGCTGTAAAAGCATAGAAAGGCGCTATACAAGTATAAAACCATTTACCATAAGGTTAAACCAGCTCGGCAGGTGTAATTTCCTCTTTCCGTGCACCAGATTCTGCAGATATTGCCTCAGAACTGCAACGCTTTAGTATAGTCATCACTTTTTCCTGTCGAGATGCACCAAATTCTTCAACATACTGTATTTCAGTGTAGTAACTTGTAATGGCAAATTTGATTTTTAGACCCCATACCCTGTTTAATATCAGTTATGCCAGTCATTGTTTCCAACCTCATTATGCAGGCTTACTGCTTGGCTTCATGTAGCCTGACAATCATTCAAATATTTTGTAAAGGTAACATGAAATTGGTCACAAGCATAACTAATTCAATTTTTTTTTTTTTTTTTACTGTTTTTCAGTTTGTGATGTCTGGATGGGGAACAGGATACTCTTTCAGATGTGACTTGGTGGATTACTCTGATTCACCACAGGCTATGAGGGTAAGGTGCTTTGAGCTGTGTTGAATCAAATGTGGCACCTGACATATGGTGTAAGATCAATGTGGTTTTGTATCGGTACTGAAGTGTTCTTTGTCTCTCCTCTAGATGGCGGCAACATGCTGGCTTTTCTACTTCTCAAAGTTCATTGAGATGTGGGACACAGTAAGTAGATGCTGAAATGAATACACTTCCTAATTTGTTTTACTGTATTGCACACAGATTGACATTTTGTTAAATTGTAGCACTTATTTTAACTTGGTAATGTCCTTCTTGACCGAACTTGTTTACCTTTTCAGATTTTCTTTGTCCTGAGGAAGAAGAACAGCCAGGTGACATTTCTTCATGTCTACCACCACTCCATCATGCCATTCACTTGGTGGTTTGGTGTTCGTTTTGCTGCAGGTAGAACTCTCCTCTTCTAAAATGTACAAGCAATATTTTCCGAGTTTCTCTTGACATTTTCTGACTTCCTGCCTCACTCCTTATTTCAGGTGGTCAGGGGACATTCCACGCGCTGCTGAACTGTGTTGTTCATGTTATCATGTACACATACTACGGCCTGACTGCAATGGGCCCCAACTACCAGAAGTACCTATGGTGGAAGAAATACCTCACTACCATTCAGCTGGTATGTTAAGTAGTCTAATGAAAGACTCCTTTTTTGTGTGTACTTTTATTCATTCTTAAAGTTGGGTTCATAATGACCAGTGGTGAGTCTTTGAAATAAAGTCAGCCCTTCCTTTCTTTGTTGCTACCCAGATCCAGTTTGTCATGGTAACCAGCCACATCTCCCAGTATTTCTTCATGAAGGACTGCCCGTACCAGTTCCCCATCTTCATCTACATCATCGCCCTGTACGGCCTGATTTTCTTGTTTCTTTTTCTCAACTTCTGGTACCATGCCTACACCAAGGGCAAAAGGCTGCCTAAAGTGTTGCAGGCTCAGACATGGTCACACCACACAAACGGCGTCATGAGTGGAAATGCTGGTCATGAGAAAGATGAGTGACACAGGACTTGGCTCATCAAGAGGTTTCGGGGTTGACCTCACTTGCGTAAGCAAACCACTGTGGCAATCTGAGATTGAAATCCAATTTTGTTTGGATTGTTTTTTTTTTGTTTGTTTTTTTTTTGGTTGCAGTTTTACTTGCGATTACAGAAGACAATCTTTAAATTATGACCAAAGCCATGTTTGAGGTTTATTGACCCCAAGGTGAGGGTTTTATTTTTGTTTACACTAAAGGTAAATTCCAAGTTCTGTGAAATGTCCAGATATCATCCAATTTTCTATTACAACATGACCCCCTTAAAATGTGTCAAACTGTATATACTGACTATATTGCTTCACCTATGGTAAGATTGCAGGGCTCTTGGCTGTACACTCACACTGGACCTCCTGAAAAAGCTTTTAATGCTGTGATTTAGTTTTTTACTTTGCTACTCAGACTTAGGAAATCCACTTACATTTTCTTAAGCTGTGCACTGAAAAGTTGGGGACTGTTTTATTTCACTAGACCTATGATGACCGCTCTGAGGTGACCTTTAAAATGGTGTTACAATGTCCTGTTGTGCATGTGATTGCTGCATGCACAACAGGACAGTTTTTGTTTTGATCACACATGCATGCCCACCTCTTTGTGGCCTTAATCGCAGCTGCTGCTGATGGTGCACACTTTTCAGCGGAAAGAGCTATCTGCCTACAATGTCATCACTTTGTAATGACTTATTTCTCTTATGAAGCAATGGTGCGACGGATACCGGTGAGGTGAGGTCTTGAACGATCCAGAGCAGAGCTTTATCTAAAGTTTTACTACTACTTGAGGCATTGAAAAATACTGTATTATGGGACCACAGTACGCACAACAAATTATTTAGCCAACCAGCAGAAAACATGAGCAACCATACTTGTCTGCTTTGAATGTTTTGGTTTGTGTGTTGAAACTCTGTGGCTACTGAGGTCTTCAGATGGATGGGGTAGCCTTTGGAATGAGGTCTGGAGTTTGATATCTGGTTATGATGATCTTGAACTAAAAAGTGAGTAACTCTGCTCCTTTGACTGAGGACAAAGGATCAAGCTTAGTGTGGAAATTGTTTCCACATTTTTGTTCAAATGCAAGCACATGTTAACACGCATCTACATTTGTAGTGCATAAAAATGTGGGTGAGCTGTTCTCCTTTTTAATAATGTTAATGCTGTAAAATATGTAATCTTTTATATGTATTTATATAAAATAAATCTGGTTTGACTGTTTTTCTTTCTTGATTGAAAATGGAGATGTTTGAATAACTTACAATTTGAGAGCCTCAGGGTATGACAGATGTCTAGCTAAAAAATATTGGGTGGGTTGTCCAGGCTGAGGCACAGACTTGATGAGGGATAGCACATTTGAAATGTAAATGAAAACATGTTTCCATGAAGTAAATGCATACATTTTTTTTGAGAGACTTTAAAAGATCATTTTGGCTGTGTTGGGGGGTGGGGGGTTTCGGACTCTTGGCCAAAGACACTGCTGCACCCCCGCACTGAGGTGAACCACACTCAACACAATTTGAAGGAATAAGTGCAAATATCATCCTGCACCTATACATATCAAAATAATTAATTTGGCCAAAATATTGTCTTAAACACCAGCAAAATGTTGTTTAAGACCATTTGTATGCTAAGCGTTTAAACTAACTCAATGCCAGACCAGCCTAATGAAGTATTTACAATGATTTTATTTATTTATTTATTTTTTTTGGCAAGGTACATCACCTAAACCTGAACTGCATTGCTGATTAAGAACGCCAACATGCTTTGTAGTTGCTTAATTAAAAGGAAACGCTAAGAAAACTCAACCACATAAGCAGGTTAAAGCTTGGTTTAGTTATGTTAAAATGACCGGTTCATGATGCTTTTCTTCACAGTAACATTTGACACTCTACAGGAGACATGGTTGTAGGGAGTACCTAAACCTGTATCTGCTTTTGTGAAAATCCTATTTTAATGAAGTGATTTTTTTTTTTTAGTCCTGACTGTAATTAGCTATTGTCATCAGTAGGTGTTGCTGCTTAGTTTTCAATACATTATAGTAAGATGGATCATTTTTCAGCAATGCTCCTTTTCAATGTCAGAATATTGACTAAAGCCTCTCTGATTCTCTATAGACAAGCTGCAGGCCAGTAAACTCTGAAGTTCATAGTTGCTTGGTGAGAAGCTTCTTTCTCTAATAGGCTAGTGTTTCCAGAACTGAACAAATATTTATCCTATCAACCATACATTATTCAATTTATATGAAGGGATTTTAAGAGGATTTTCATCACATTAATTTTCCCAACCAGTAGAGAAGCTTATACATTGACCTGACAAAGCTTGAGTAGTTTTTCAAGAAAGAATAAGATAAATGTCTGTTTGGGCAAACTTGATAAAAATCCTATTGTGTCCTCTGTAATTTTCCTATATGTACTGTATATTGATTTCAAGTATAAAATTTATTTTATGGGCAGTGTGGAAATGTTGGAAAACATCCTACTCTTTCTCCAACACTGCTTCTCCTATCCATCTCTCTCACACAATCATGTTTAGCAAACAGAAGAGCATGTTGACCTATCTTTTGGATAACAGTATGTCCTTCTGCACTTGAGTGGCACATAATGATACCACCACCAACCAACAGCACCTGAGCTTTTCACTGAGTGACACTCAGCTCTGTGATGGCAAATATGTGAGCTTTTCATACATAAAAGGAAGCTGACATCAGTGCAAGATAAAACTATGAATTACAGAAAACACTGCAAGTTTGTTTTACTTTCCATATAAATATACTGGGGTATATCATTGTTCGCACTAAGCGGGTGAATGGAGAGATGAGAGCAGGCAGCGGGACAGCCAGACCCCTGGAGGCCCTGGGGCATTGCTCTACACAGTGATCAGTTCCAACAACGCCCTTTTGTCTCAGAGCCACCCTCGCAGGTCCTTCCCTGGTTTGAGTGAGGGAGAGGCTGGGTAGGTCATTATCAAGCTGAATGTGTTCAAACATGTAACACAAATGAAGCGACTCACAAGCAGGATTTGTTCTTGTCTTTGACCACAAGATATATGTTCATTTTAAAATACATTTTTGATCTTACAGACATTTGTTACATTTTATTGCTTCAAAACATTTATCCTTTTATGCTGCTGCACAAAATATTTCACTAAAAATTGCTAAAGCAAAGTTCTTAGAATGAGCAAAGGGCTTCCACATAAAGCCTTTTACTAAACATTAAGAGGGAGATTCCGCATTAGTGTTTTTGTTGGATGGATGAAGTGGATGAAGCTCAGTGGGGAAAAGGTGATGTCGTAAACTTCTCAGCACCAATCAAGATTTAGCAGCGTGAATTAAAATGTGTGCTTAGCTATATCTTTGAGAATTAAAGTAAATAATTTTTTCAGAGAGTTTTTCAGCCCTAACTTAATGTTCATTTAATTTATGTAGTAACCCTGCAATATTTCTGGCCACTTGGGGACAGCAGAGACCAGCTGTGTGCACACATCACATACAGGGCACTATCTTGCAACAAAAGCATCTTGGGGCATTAATCTGAGGATCCACGGCGTCTGATCAAGACGTATTTGCGCAAGTGGTGTTTGCATGTGTCCATGTTCATTTCGGTAATTTGATGATGAGGAAAAACGGTTAAAGAGACCATGCAAGTAGCAAAAGGGGTAGATGATCTCCTCATTAAAGCAGGGGTGGGTTTTGGGATTATCATGCAATTATCCAACCAGTGTGTAACCTCACATCCCCTTTAAGAGACGTGTGAGTTTGAACGTTTGGCGGCTTGCTAGCATGCTGGTGGACTTGCCATGTCAGACACCTGTAAGATTTTCCACTGAGGAAATGGATCTGCTCGTGTGCGAGGTGAAGGCGCACGTTCAGTAATCAAAACAGTGTTTATTATAAATACATATATAGATGATATTGATGTGCACAACACCCAATGAACACAATTTAATCTTTAAAATGTTTTTGCATCTCCTGTACAGCGTGTACCAGGGTATAACAAGCACAGTGCACGACCACTGTGCACGCACAACACAATCAAAGTGCCCATTAACTAGCAGGTACTAAATAGTTTGCACAGAGTGTTTAGACCTTTTTCACTGAAAACAGCTGCTTGCTGTGGCTGAAATTAATTCTACGTAACAAACAGTAAGTTGCAGGTATTAAAACCAAAATAATGAACTGGAAAATGCTAAACTGCTGTCTGCTCAAGTGATGACTGAGAAGAGGCCTCTCGGGGCTTTTAAAACAACATACTCTAAGTACACAGAGGAACAGATTACAGATCAGTGAATGAAAGAAAGCTATAGATGATGTCTGGTTTCTTTGTAGACAGTATAATCTGCCAAATCGCTACACTTTCTGGCAGTGGCACATCATCTGAAAGAGCAACAAGGTTTGTGTCAGGTTTGCTCGGCCGCTCTGGCCTCCCTCACCTTTCCTACTGTCTCTTGCCCATTAACACTAATCACGTTCACCTGTTCCTCACTCCCTTATCACCAGCTGCACATGATTAGGTTTCTCACTATATTACCCGGTTTCACTCCTCAGTCACTTGCCAGTTCGTTCTAGTCTCTAGGCCATTTTTTCTCCGTGCTGTCTCGGTTTTTTTTTTTTTTTGTATATTATTATTCCCTAGCCAGCTACTGTTTTGTGTTCCCCCCATGGACTGTTCCTCCGGACCGTGGCTCCACTCTCCCCTCCCAGGCAGGTCAATGCTCAGTCGCCTATCTGTTCCACTATTGCCTTCATTTCTCTGTCTCTACCTTCAGTAGCCACCATCACCACCGACCAGCCCAGGAGTGACCCAGCCTACGCAGCTCGGCCCAGCTCTCCATCTCCTCGCCTCCTGCTGTTGGTCAAACACCCGGTTACTACTCATCGACAGGACTACGCACTATTTCCCTCTGTGTATTGTTACTCTCATCATCACTGTACATAATAAATCACTGCTTGCATCGAAGTCAGTTACCTGGGTCCGCCTCTTTCTCCTTCGCTCACTGACAGGTGTGAACGGCACATAACAGTTTGAGCATTTGGAAAGAGTACATCCATGTATCTCCTGATATCCTATCGTGTAAAGGGGTGACTACACCTGGGAAACATTTTAGAGATGGGCAGCAATGAAAAGTATTGGCTGTATAGGTGGGAAGAGAGGCTGTCAAGACCACAACAAGTGAGAATAAAGAGATAAAGAGAAGAGGCACAACCTCAGTCTTGATTAGACTGTGTGCAATTGCTCAGTTGATGGTGAATCTATTTTTGCTTGGTCACTAATATCAATCTCTTAAATGGTGATTATGCAGAGTGAATTTAGTTAGTGCTTTAAGCATTGCCCAGGTGGTCTGTAACATCATTGATATTAACATGAGCACAGCAGAGCAGGGTAATGTGTGTGTGTGTGTGTGTCACCGCAGAGAGCAGATGGCTCTCTGAGAATAATTATTGGTATTTTAGATAATCATGGGTATTTGGTTGCCCTAATAATAACCTAACCTTCTGCTTTTTCTGTCTTTTGCATCTTGCTTTAAGATCTCTTCGCTGTAAAAAAGAGGAATAAGTATGGTTTGGCTCATTAAAGTTTATACAGTATAACAGACACCACGATCAGGGTGGCAAAACAGTCATGCGTTGCCAGTGTGCTGCTCAAGTGTCTGCTCTCATTTGTAATGCCATCAAATTCAAGATGTATGTGTGTGAAACTGATCTGATTGGAAGTTCATATGCTTATTAAAAGTGATGCTTATTTTGTTACTGGTGCAGCTGGCAGAGCTGTACTTTGTCATCTTGTTTATGTGTTTAATGCCGTCACAAGAAACAAACTGCCATGATGTGCCTGAAACTAAATATCTTTTTGGCCAGAGAAATGGTCTTGTTATGATTTCTTAAATCTCAAAGTAATATCCTAAAATATTATTTTTTGTCCAGAAAACAGTTCAAACCCAAATGACATGACAGATAACAACATCAAATCCTTACACTCAAACATTTGCATCAATTTTGCAGACAGTGTTTTCTGTGCACCTGCACTTTTACATCTCTAGATGCCTAATTTCACCTGTATGCTTATCCCTTCAGTGCACACCTCATATCGTGA